TATATACAATCTATGGTTTGGGGTCAGTAGTTTTTTTTTGGAATAATTAATAGTTTTATTTAGGGAGGATGCATCAAAAGTAACCGTAAAGTGACGTGATATGTAGCCAAGAATGGTGTCCCATACTCAGAATTTGTGCTCTGAATTTCACCCATCCACGTGCACACACACCGCAGTGAACACACACGCACACCGTGAACACACACCCAGAGCAGTGGGCAGCCATTCTTGCTGCGGGGCCCGGGGAGCAGTTGGGGGTTCGGTGTCTTGCTCAAGGGTCTCACCTCAGTCGTGGTATTGAAGAGCGCTGTACATTCACTCCCCCCACCAACAATCCCTGCCGGTACTGAGACTTGCAACTTTCACATTGTTGCAAAGAATAGAAAAATGATATGCAAATATATGCTGTTATTTTGAACTTTCTATTTGCCAAAGAATCCTGGAAAAAAATGTACCATGGTTTTCACAAAAAAATATTAAGCTGTTTTCAATATTGATAGTCACAAGAAATGTTTCTTGAGCAGCAAATAAACATATTAGAATGATTTCTGAAGGATCATGTGACACTGAAGACAGAAATAACTTTTTTAAATATATTCAAATAGAAAACAGTTATTTTAAATTAACAGTATTTTACTGTATTTTTGATGTAATAAATGCAGCCTAGGTGAGCATATAAATGAGCAATATCACTCAAGTACGAGAGTGATATTGCGTTTATACAACAGTTCGACGGAACATGTGTGTAATTAAACAAGAAACAACGGAGTGCCTAATAAAACCCTCTTTTGTGCGGAACTACTTCCTTCCGCCACGGATTCAAAGCTCAAGTTGACAGTTAAACATACGTCACTTTTAGAATTCGTATCAAGGGCATGTGCTGCTTCAGTTATTAGTGAGAAATAATGAGGTTATAAGAGAGAAACAATGCTGCAAGACGTGCATCCAAATGAGAGAGAAAGAGACCGCGAAGCTAGACGTTTCTTCTTATATAAACTAAAGTACTCTACGATTAGCTCAGTGAATAATAAAAAAAAAACCATAGACCCGGCTAGAACAAGCAGAGTGATACAAAATTGTGAAAGGGCGTTCCTGTAGCGATACTAGTACAATATCTCACAGTTCTCAACCAATCAGATTTGAGAACCAGAACGAACTGTTGTATAAATATATATACACCTTATAAATTTTTAACATCAATTTTGTTATTTTTGTTCATGATACCTAATGTTAACAAATTGATTCTCCTTGTAAAGTGTAGCAGATTTTACCAGACACATTTAACATTTTCTTATTGTGGAAATTATCAAACATATTGATCTCACACAAGGTTGATAATCACACTAAGGCATATACAAAATTTTGTGAATTTAAAACAAACGCTTCCTTCATTTAATAACACCTGTACACTGACTAAAAATAACAAATAGTGATTCCACTCCTTCACTTTCTCTGCAGTAACTTCCTGTCACCAAAAGGGACTGTAAAAGGACATAAAGACAGAAACCTCCAAAAAGTAATTTGACTTAATATAAAATAATTTTCTTCCCTCATTTGCAAACGTACATCCTTTTTAGCCAATCACGGCTATTTTCAGAAAAACTGAATTTTGAGTTATGACCTATTTAGTCATGTCTTCTTCTTTCTTCCATGGTGAAAAGCGGCGCATTGAGCTGGTGACATTGCTTGCTGTTTTTGCCCTTGATAATAACAGAAGCGGCAGATGTTCTTTCCAAATAGCGCAGAACCTCCTCCGGAATCCATTGGGTGAGATTCTCAAGCATTTGAATGGTTTCTAATTTTTATTAAAATAAAAATGTGGCCTTTATAACATATAACACGGGTCAGAACTCAGGACTTGATTTCTTATGTCTTTTTGAACCATATGGCAATGCCCTTGCTTTTCAGCAATCTCTTGGTAGCTCCTGACAACCACTTTAGCATGACTTTCTCTTCCAAATTGCTGTGGAAACTGTTGTTAAGCCAGGTCTCCATAGCAACACCCTGTCCTGATTCTTAGATCAAGGACGACGGAAGGTTTACTGTGCAAATGCATCAACTGACAAGACAGAGCTTTCTAACACTTTCTCACACACACACACACACACACACACACACACACACACACACACACACACACACACGCATTTATCTCTCACAGCATTGCTGCCACATTGCAGTAGCAAATGTCAGGTGTCACTCTTGTCCCGTCAGTGTTCTGACATTCGGAAAAGTATCAACAAACATTGTGTCACTTTTGACGAACCCGAGGGCCAGCTGTCTTTCATGGACGCATGTCCCTCATGGTCAGCTTTCAGTCCCTGGTAATGACACGGTTGCTTCTGACAGAGAAATATTCTGTTTTTAACTATCATTCAGTGTTAGATTTCTGCCAGTCGCTGTCATTTGTTTGTCTTTTTCAAATAGCTTTATACGCACAAGACAGCCATCATCACTGTAATTATTGTTCCCACAGGAATCCTGTTTTTGGTTATAATTATAGTGACAGATTGAACGGCGAGAGGCGTAAATTCATATTTTTGTCACAGTTCCAGGAAGAGTGATAACATTAGTGTGAGGAGTGATAACATAACACTTTTGAAATTTAAGTTAATTACATTAATTTACCTTGGATCAAATGTAGGCAAACTTACTGTTGTTCATTTAGGAATGAGGGCTGTTAGTTTAATTCACAGCATGAAGATTTATTTGAACTTTTGAAAAAAAAAAAGTGTCAGTGTTGTACTACATGGGTCATCCATAGACTTACAGTATGTTACACTACTTTTAAAAATCTTGGGGTCAATATGATTTTTATTAATACTTTTATTTAGCAGGGACTCATTCAAATGATCAAAGTGCCAGGAAATATATTTGTAATGTACAAAATATTTATATTTCAAATAAACACTGTTCTTTTGAACTTTCTATTCATCGAAAAATCTTGTATCACCGTTTCCACAAAAATATTATGCAGCACAACACAACATTGATAGTAATAAAAAAAGCAAATTATAGTGATTTCTGAAGGATCATGTGACACTGAAGACTGGAGTAATGATGCTGAAAATCCAGCTTTGAATCACAGGAATAAATTACATTTTATATTGAAGTAGAAAACGGTTCTTTTAAATTGTCATAATATCTCACAATATTACTGTTCCTACTGTATTTTTGATCAAATAAAAGGAGCTTTTGTGAGCAAAAGAGACTTCTAATAAAAAACATTAAATACAGACCCCAAACTTTTGAAAAGTAGTGTACATCGAAATATAAAATTAAATAACAAACATTGAAATAGTGTACATTGAAAAAACTAAATTTGTCATTTGTCCAATACAAGTTTAAATAAAACATAACTACCGACTAATCAATTATTTTGACTAATTATAATAGGCTTATTTCTCTCAACTAATTTATGACTTGAATTATGCCATACAACAGCAAAAATGTCTGTCACACTGTTTTCAGATCATTAAAACTAACGACATCAAAATTTGAATGTTGATTTTATATTGATGTTTCACTGCAAGAAAAACTCTTGTCAGTAGATTTATGCATTGACATTAGTCTTCCTGCTCTCTTCCACTTTGATCTCCTGTCATGTAAACCAAATGTCTTAATTTTACAAGCCAATGTGTTCATACCAGATGTCATCATTAAAAATCCCCCCAGATATATAAAACCGTTCTCATTTTGCAACATGTTGGTGTTGGAAAAGTTTTGAACAAAAAAATGAAACTGACAAATGGCACACTGATCTCACACCAGTTCAGAAATATAACAGCCTTTAGTCACAGATTTTTACACATTCCTTGTCCTTTGGATGTTTGTTTATTAAATATTGTAGTGTATTTGTTTATTCTTTGAGCTAGAAATAAAAGTGTAGTACTCGCAGCTCCATTTAACGCATCCTAAAATCTGTTTCATTCTGCAGATTTTCCTCCAAAACAAGCGCCGAAAGTGTGAAAGAAGTCAGATTCCGTCTGGTCCTGCTAATGTGTGAACGTCGTGAGCTTCCTTTTCCCCTGAAATTTTCCAGACACTTGACGTGTCAAACCGGCCCAGTGGCCTTATTTCACAGAAAATTGTCTGTCAAAAAAATCCATTAATATTCCCTCCAAGTCTTGTCTTTCTGAAGTCTGACAGCGCAGACGTAGCTTAAGACTCTCTAAACCAAGCTGGAATACTTCGCTTTTGCTCTTCCAACTGTCAATGAAGTCAGTCTCTGATTTATTTCAGCATCTACATTGTGATCTGTATGCTCTTATCTGCCGTTCCGTTCTGTCTGCGCTCCAGTTTCTTTCAGTTTCTCTGATTTTCCCTGACTGGTTTCTCTTTTGACAGGCCTCGGCCCTCCGGCAGACCAGACCAGGGTGATCGAGGAGTTCCGTTACCTTTCCCAGAAGCTCTTTGTATCCATGTCTGTCTTTGCCGGGCTGGGAATCCTTCTGGGCATAGTCTGCCTCTCCTTCAACATATACAACAGTAGCATCAGGTTAGTGTGTTCATAAGAAATCCACATGCAATTGATCTGAAGTGCTGTAAAATTTGACAATTAAAGGTAATTTTATGATCATTTTGTGTTGGTCAGTATGTTAGTTCTGTCCATTTGAATTATTTTTATGGTACCACACCTCCAATAAGCATGTATAATTTGTATAATTTTATATCTTTTGTTTTTATTTTATGTCATTTTATTTTTGTTAACCCAATTATGCTAAAATCAATCAAAGTTGTATTAAAGGGGTCATATGATGTTGCTAAAAAGAACTGTGTATTTGGTGTAATGAAATGTGTTTATGCGGTTTAAGGTAAAAAAAAACATTATTTTCCACATACATACTGTACAGTATTGTTTCTTCTCTATGCCCCGCCTTTCTGAAACGTGTCGATTTTTACAAAGCTCATCGGTCTGAAAAGCGAAGTGTGCTCTGATTGGCCAGCTATCCAGTGCGTTGTGATTGGCTGAATACCTCAAGCGTGTGACGGAAATGTTACGCCCCTTACCATATTGTGATGCCGTGTCCCGGCCGGAGCGACGAGACAAAAACATTAAAACCCATTACAAACTAATCCGGTGATCCACAGCACGAAGTTGATGTATTTCCTCAGCGACCAGCATGGATCAGCTCCAGGCATGACGAAGCGGATTTTGTCCTCTTTTGGAAGGCCAAACAAAGTAGTTTCGCTTTCACAACGAAACACACGGTAACAACAATACTACAGCGAGAGTAAATGTTACGCTTTCTTTCTTTGCGTGAACATTTGGGCGGCGTTATGCAAATACAAAGACGTGGGGGCGTGTTAGAACAAGTCGTTTTAATGCACCAAGAGCTTGTAACACTCCAAAGAGAAAGGAAAAATTGAAATCGCATCATATGACCCCTTTAAGTTTATGGTTAAAATATGACAAGTTTGCCAGTGGAGTTGGAACATTTAAAAATACTTTATTCAAGAAATATTGCCTGAAAACAAGTCATTAAGTTATTATCTTACACAATTTTTCTCCAAGTAATTTTCTTATTTTAAGAGTGATTAGATATTTTTACTGAAAAAGAAAAGCAAAGATAATTAAGAAATTGTTTGCAAAGCTGCATTGTGTCTGGTTCACTATAATTATAATGTGGCACACAAACCGTTATGACTGAAATGAAATGATCGTGGATGAAGGTTTTAATAAAACCCTATTTGAACTGGGAAGGAAACTGAACCAGAGAAGAAAGGTTTGACACTCTAATTTTACAAGATAAAGGAAAATTAGATTTTTCACGATTTTATGACTCCTTTAAATGCTACCATGACTGTTACAAAATAATATTTCAGCCCAGCATAAAATGTTTTGGATTTCTCATTTTGATAGTGTAATATATCTGTAGACTGAGTTCTAATCTGTTGTAACCCTTCTGACAGATACATTCAGAACTCTCAGCCCTATCTGAACAACATGACGGCGGTGGGTTGTGTGCTGGCATTAGCAGCTGTCTTTCCTCTGGGCATCGATGGCCTCCATGTCCATAGATCACAGTTCCCTGTGGTCTGCCAGGTAGTGTCATAAACGTTATACTCACTTTTTTATTGCCGTTTCCTCTCATTCAGCCTTGACCTTTGAACACGACAAAGATTTGTTATAAAAAAATTAATGACTGCTTTGGAGCTAAGCTCCCAAATGAACTCTTTCTCTCTCTCATAGTTTCGCCTGTGGCTGCTAGGACTGGGCTTCAGTTTAGCCTATGGCAGCATGTTCACCAAGATCTGGTGGGTTCACACTGTCTTCACCAAGAAAGATGAGAAAAAAGAGAAGAGGAAGGTAAATCAGTCTTGAGTGGCTAAAAAATGTATCTTCTTGCATTTAAAGGAATACTGTAGTTTTCCAAAAATTAAAATGTACCATTATTTTCTCATGTTGTTCCAAATGTATGACTTTCTTACCATCTTCACTCAGCTTCATAATATTTTAAACCGTTAAAATTATATATATATATATATATATATATATATATAATTTTAACGGTTTAAAATATTATGAAGCTGAGTGAAGATGGTAAGAAAGTCATACATTTGGAACAACATGAGAAAATAATGGTACATTTTAATTAAAAACTTTTATTTTGGATGTGATTGCAAGTAATTATTGACAGCATTAATATTAATATACATTACATATATTGTTTAATATATATTATATTTAATATATAATATATTAATATAAATACAATAAAATAAATATTTAATAAATTATTAATATTAATAATTATTATAAATTATACAATTATTTAAGTGATGTAATTATTGTAAATTACCTACATGTATATATACACAATAAAATATTAATAATTAATCATTATTAAAATTTCTTTCAAAAAACTGTGGCAGTGTAAATATATTTTTACTTGTGCTTCACAAAAGAAAGAAAACTACAAGTTTTGAATGACGTGAGGGTGAGTAAATGATGACAGAATTGTAATTTTTGGGTGAAATGAGTAATGAATTTAAAATAAATTACATTTGGTTTAATTAGAATGATGACAGGGCTATGGACTTTGCACGAGACTTTGCATTTTTCAGTATCCCCTTAATTATTTTCAGATAATTTTGCAGAATCTGCAAATGTGACGAGCAGCGTGCTTGCGTTATGCAGTGCCACCGAATTCACTGTTATCTACTGCATATTAAAGAATCCCGCACCTACACGACTCTACAGCATTAGATGAAGCTTCCCAGCATGAAATAGAACCTCCCCCTCTTCTCGCATATTCTTGCTGAGAAAAGTTCTGTCCGTTTCTTCCTTACACAACACAAACACACTATTAGCATCTTGACACGTGTGTTCGCTCTGATCTCGTGTCCTAAAGCAATACGAGACGGCATTAGGGAAACCCTAAAACCTCATCAAACCACAACCAGATTACCCCAACTATGGAATATGGATGAGCATTAAACTTCTTTTATGGAAATCCGACCTTCAGGGGGCTTTATTATTCAAGCGCTCTGCACGACGAATCGAGATGACTTTCAACTCTCCCGATGCCCGTAATGGAGCAATTTGCCTAAGTGGTTCAACAGCATTTGAAGAAAGTTCGGCGCTCAGGCTGAATGTGGAAGAAACGGGGGGCTCTCGAGTCATTTGACGTCTTCACGGTGATTAAGGGAGAGAGAGAGAGGAGAAAGTGTGCAGTGAAACTTGTTTTCCCAGTCTGAAGGCCCGGAGGAAGCCTGCAGCCACAGATTCTGCATGCAGAGAATGCAGTGATTCTTAAAAAGAGTTCTGTCATTATTTACTCACCCTCGTTTCGTTCCAAACCCATATACTTCAACTTTTTTTTTGTTTTCTGTGGAACGTAAGAGTAGAACTTTTTAAAGAAACATCTCTCGACATGCAATGACTTTCAAGCTCCAAAAAACAAAAAAAAACAAATCACCATTAAAGTAGTTCATATGGCTTATATGCTGTATTTTAAGTCTTCTGAAATCATACAATAGTCATTGTTCACCGATAATTTGCATTGCTGCATGTTTTTGCAAGAATCTGTTTCTCACACAAAGCCATCGTATTGCTTTTATGATGTTTTCGTTGTTTTTTTTTTTACCTTTTCTTCAGCTTTTTTTTAACCATGCTGCTTAATCTTTTCCACTAATGCCTGCAAACGGAGTCATGTTGACCCAAATTGCAGATGTGGGTTTGCAGTCTGAACTGAATGTGACAAGATAAAAAGACTATAAAATAATGACAAGAAAACACGTCTTGCATGCACAAGCTGCATGCAAAAAATAAATACAACAAAAAAAAGTGTAATTCGATAAACAAACAAATGACTCTTAAGAGTCGATTCATTAGCAAATTACTTTTTTAACCCGTTCTTCTAAGGAATTGTTTAGAAAGACTTAGAAATCCAAAATATAATGATCCATTTTTTTAAATGTTTTTGAAAGAAGTCTCTTATGCTCACCAAGGCTGCATATATTTGATCAGAAATACTATTAATAATATAAATATGATTACAATTTAAATGAACTGTGTTCTATTTTAGTATACTTTTAAATGTAATGTATTTCTGTGATGGCGGAGCTGAATTTTCAGCATCATTACTCCGGTCTTCACATGATCCTTCAGAAATCATTCTAATGTGCTGATTTGCTGCTCAGGAATTTCATTAATCATCAATGTTGAAAAAAGGAAACTTTTTTGATGTTCACATGAAAATGTGTGAAAATAAGACATTAAGATTCCTCAAAACTTTCTCCTTTTGTCTTCCACCGAAAAAAACGACGGTATACAGAGTCTACAATAATGTTTACAACTGCTGTGACCATTCATAAGTGTAACTTTTATTCCCCCTTTACAGTATAGCAGTCTATTGTTAGTGTCTTGATTCTTTGTGACTGTGTGTCATTGACTAACGATTATGGTCTTATTTCGCCGCAGCACTTGGAGCCGTGGAAGCTATATGCGACCGTTGCAGTTCTGCTGGCTATTGATGTTCTCTCTCTGCTTATCTGGCAGATTGTGGACCCTCTGCACATAACTGTGGAGGTGTGGTGACACTTTACTTTTTTTCTTGTGGTTACTGTGATTTTTTTTTTTTTATGTGTTTCCTCTGAAATGCCTGGGAAATTTCTGCCGAGCAAGCTCATGGAAGTAGGTGTTAATGGTGAAGTATTGTAGTGCAGTGCTCTGCTGCATTGACCTCAATCTCTGTCCTTTAAAGTGCTCTCTCTCGCTCACTCTCTTGTTTTCTCGCTCTAAGCAGAAGTTCACTAAAGAGGCTCCTAAAGAAGATCTGGATGTGTTGATTCAGCCTCTTCTCGAGCACTGCAGTTCAGAGAAGATGAACACGTGGCTTGGTAAGCATCCGGCACTCACTCACCATGTCCAGAGTCTTTTTAGTGCAGTATTTTTAATGAAAAAAACCCTAATCCTGAATATTAAACTTTGTTGTGAAACTCAAGAATATGAATGCATCATAATGCTAAAAAATATACGTTTTTTTTTTTCCCTGTGCGCTGTGTTTGACACCCGGGTCTGATTTAATTTTATTTATTTATATATATCTAGGAGTTTAATCATCTATACGGTTGCTTCGCGCTCTGCACTTTACTGATACAAGCTGTCTCTGAAATTTAAATTAATCATTTGTTATATGCTCAAGAGTTTTTTCCAGTTCATTTTGTATTCCTCTCACCGTTTCACAACTCATTCATTCTCACTATCTCTTTCTCGCACTTTTCCTCTTGCTCTGACTTCCTATCAGAGCACCGCAGTGTAAAATTACATTTTGTGGGTCAGTGCCCAGGTCTGGATCTCATAGCCTGACTCTCTCACTCTGTACAGGAAGATAATATTACAGAGAAAAAAACCTTCCTTGAACTCGAAACGAGATTAAACTCTTAATGTGACTTATTAGTCCCTCTCTTCTCTCTCACTTCCTGTATCATTCTTCCTCTTTTTATATATATACAGTGGTGTGAAAAAGTGTTGGCCCCCTTCCTGATTTCTTATTTTTTTGCATGTTTGTCACACTTTAATGTTTCAGATCATCAAACAAATTTAAATATTAGTAAAAGATTACACAAGTGAACATAACATCCAGTTTTTAAATTAAGGTTTTTATTATTAAGGGAAAACAAAATCCAAAACTACATGGCCCTGTGTGAAAAAGTGTTTGCCCCCTAAACCTAATAACTGGTTGGGCCACCCTTAGCAGCAACAACTGCAATCAAGCGTTTGCGATAACTTGCAATGAGTCTGTTACAGTTTCTGTATTTTAATTTCTTTCACAATATTTTAAATATGAACATACAGGCAGGAAAGAGATCATCTATTTTCACAAACATGCCGGGGTCATATGTCACTTTTTTTAGGGCCAGAAAGATTTTTTGCACAACTTTTATGACAATTAAGCACATTCTCACCAGGTTTCATTACTGTAATATAGATATTTACTGTAATGCACAAAGCTTTTTATATTACTTGCATTGTGAAGTATTCATGGGTAGGTATTTGTTGTGCTGATTTGAATTTTTATTTTAAAAAGTCTGATAGACTCAACCCAATAGACTCGTTCATTTATGACATCACTCAAAAGTATTACAAATGATAAAATACCCATTTTATATATTTTTCCAGGTAAAATACATCTTTAGTTAATCTCGGTTTATGTTTGATCTTTTATACACTACCATTCAAAACTTTGGGGTTGGTAAGAATTTTTTAATGTGTTTGAAAGAAGTCTCTCACCAAGTCAGCATTTATTTGATCAAAATAAACAGTAAAAACAGTAATATTGTGAAATATTATTACAATTTAAAATAGCTGGTTTCTATTTTAAAATGTAATTTATTCCTGTGATGGAAAAGCTGAATTTTCGGCATCATTACTCCAGTCTTCAGTGACGCATGATCCTTCAGAAATCATCGTAATATGCTGATTTGCTGCTCTTACATATCTTATGGGGAAGTCGTGGCCTAATGGTTAGAGAGTCGGACCCAAAGGTTGCGGGTTCGATTCTCGTACCGGCAGGGATTATCGGTGGGGGGAGTGAGACTGCTGTGTGTGTGCACTTTGGATGGGTTAAATGCAGAGCACTAATTCCAAGTATGGGTCACCATACTTGGCCACATGTCACTTTCACTTTCACTTATTATTATCAACATTGAAAACAGTTGTGCTGCTTAATATTGTTGTGGGATCTGTGATACTTTGAAGATTCTTTGAAGTTCAAAAGAACAGCATTTATTTGAAATTGAAATATTTTGACACGTTATAAATGGCTTTACTGTCACTTTTGATTCATTTAATGCATCTTTGCTGAATAAAATAAAATTTTTTTCTTAAAAAAAAAATAAAAATGCATCTCGCTGATCTTAAACATTGAATGGTAGTATAGATGGTGTTGAATGTGGTATTATATGTGACCCTGGAGCACAAAACCAGTCTTAAGTCGCTGGGGGTATATTTGTAGCAATAGCCAAAAAAACATTGTATGGGTCAAAATTATCGATTTTTCTTTTATGCCAAAAATCATTAGGATATTAAGTAAAGATCATGTTCCATGAAGATATTTTGTAAATTTCCTACCGTAAATATATCAAAACTTAATTTTTGATTAGCAATATGCATTGCTAAGAACTTTTTTTTATTTGGACAACTTTAAAGGCAATTTTCTCAGTATTTAGATTTTTTTTTGCGCCCCCAGATTACAGATTTTCAAATAGTTGTATCTCGGCTATCCTAACAAACCATACACCAATGGAAAGCTTATTTTTTCAGCTTTCATATAAGATGTATAAATCTCAGGTTTGAAAAATTGACCCTTATGACTGGTTTTGTGGTCCAGGGTCACATATATGATTTTAACAAATCATCCACCTCACTGTTTCACTCCCAAGGAACTGATTCAAACAAATGATTTGTTTAAAATATTTTGGGTTATTCTGCCTACATTTATTTTTTTGTACATTATTGGACTCAAGACCATCACTCACATACATCACATACAAGTACCACAAAAATAGAAAGCATACAGTTTCCATGTGAGACATTATCTTAAGCCAACCTCAGAGCTTTAAGAGCACTCACTATACTGTAAGTAATGCTGTGTCCCTTCAGGTGTGGTGTACGGCTACAAGGGACTTCTGCTGCTGCTGGGAATCTTTCTGGCCTACGAGACCAAGTCCATTTCCACAGAGAAGATAAATGACCATAGAGCGGTTGGCATGGCCATCTACAATGTAGCTGTAAGTCTGACTGCTGGCTATTTCTATATTTACAGCACAAAACATCCTCATAGTGTAGCCTAATCATAGCTGACAGCTGGGAGAAACACATGAGACTGTTTCGTCAAATATATAATTATATGTATCATATGTATTTTAGGAATACTGTGCCCTTCCAGACAAAACTATTTAACTATTATATCTTCCCCAGGAGTTTAGCAGCCACAATATGTGGCTCCTTAATAAATATATGACAAAAGGTTGAGTTAATTGTGAAACTGCATATAAGCAGTGGCGGAAACCTGCAAAAGTAATATACGCTGTCACACGGGGCTGTAGCAGTTTCTGGGGTGCAATTGTGTTGCTCGTCCGTCGTCTTGAAAATGAATTGTGACTCAGCAGGTGACTTTTTCCAAGCAGCTCCCAGTGTTTTACTTGCCGCCCCATCTCACTTTAAATGCTGTCTGTCTGCACTGTAGAATTAGGATAAGCAGTTTGCTCATGAAAAAAAGTCTCTTTACCTGTTAGAAAACAAGAATGAAATCACAAAGTTACTCAAATCACAAAATGTAATGTTTGTTTGTTTTTGAAAGAAATTAATATTTCCACAATTATGCATTCTATTAATCAAAAGTGACAGTGAAGACATTTCTAATGTTTTCTACAAAAGATTTCTATTTTAAATGCATGCTGTTCTTTAAAACTTTCTATTCATCAAAGAATCCTAAAAATGTATCAGTTTCTGCAAAAATATTAAGCAGCGCAACTGTTTTCAACATTAATAATAATTTAAAAAATTGTTTATTGAGATCATATTAGAATGATTTCTGAAGGATCATGTGACACTGAAGACTGGAGTAATGATGCTGGAGATTCAGCTGTGCATCACAGGAATAAATTACATTTTAAAATAGAAAACAGTTACTTTAAATTGTAATAATAAATAATAATAATAATAAAAAAATCTTACAGACCCCACATTTCTGGACAATAGCATATACTGGCATAAAGGTTTTTATTTTTTTTTTAAGGTTTTTGTTTTCTTACTCCTTCCGGATTTTAACTTGACCTTTATGACTTATTAGTGAAGTTGTTAATATTAATATAATATTTGGTATTAGTTAAATTCAAGAAACTTCTTTTATTTGTCTTTTACTTTTAATTTATAGCTGATGATTTATTTTCTTATTCTATTGTGTAGCAAGGTTAAAAAGTATAAATATAAATTATACTATAATATATTTCTATAATATGTTTATACTATTTATTTATTTAAATCAAATTAATGTATTAAAATGATCTATAACCTACAATAAAGACTTACTGTGAAAACAAAATAATAGCCATTGATGTAATGCTAATTTTAAGTGTATGTATTTTTGTCAACAACAACATGTTCGCCTTGTGTTTGACCCTTTTTTTAGCACAGTTATTGAATGAGGTGTTGATTACTAGCGTTTTGTGCTTCACTCTGAACTGCTTGCAAACAGTTTGATTCTGGTAATAACTCCAAGTGCTTCGAAGGATGATTTGCATAATTGCACCCATTTGCTCAAACTCAGACTAAAACATCCTAATGAGGAAACAAGTAACACTGGTAATGCAAACACTTTACGTCAATCCTACAGCTATTTTTTTCATAAGATCAGATCAAGTCCCAGAATGGCACCATGTTTCTGCCTTGTGTCAGGAATAACATGCCTGCTTTGATGCTACTTGAGGGTTGTTGGGTTGATCAAAAACAAAGGATTTACTGTCTGTTTTTACAGTGATGCAAGATTCAGAAACGAGCCGGTAAAAATGTCACCAGGGAAAGTACAAATCTGATCTACGTACAGCAGATTTTTTTTTTTTTTTGGAGATCTCAAACGTAGCGAGCAGTTTACTTTCCATCAGGCGATGTTTTGTGACAGAATAGCTCGTATCGCTCCAGTGCTGTCGAGGTCAGAGAGGAAATAGACTTGTGGTGCTCTGGACGTTGCTTTGACTCTGGACAGTCATGACAGTCGGTTCATTGCTCACAGTTATCGGTCTGTAGAGTCATTCTAGGCTGTTGAAGGTAAATACCTGTTATTTTTCCACACTGTTCGCCAGATATGACATCTCCACTCATAGTATAAGATCTTCATCTCTCTGCTGCCTGCTGCAAGTGTTTCAACAAAATTACCTCTCTTTTTCATCAACAGTTCTCGGTCTCTCACTTTTTGTTTTTGTCTCATGTTCCTTTCCTTTTCTTTTTACTATCTTTATCTCATCAGTTTCTCTCATTCATGGCACTGTTTCTGCTCTGCAATTTAAGTTTTTCTTACAGTTCATTTACGCCCTCTAGTGGTGACGATAGCTTGGTACACAAAGGCCT